GTTGTTTGTATTCTCTTTCTGGTGAGACATGGGGCTTGCACTCAGGGCCTGGATACTATCCCTGAACATATTTGATCAAGATTAGTACTCTACCACTTTGAGCCATAGCTCCCCTTCTGTTTTTTCTGGTGGCCAATAGGAGATAAGAGTCTCATGGATTTTCCTGCCTAGGCTGGTTTTGAACTGTGATTATCAGATGTTAGCCTCCTGAGTAGCTTGGATTACAAGTGTGAGCCACTGGGGCCCAGCCTCCTGTTTGTGTTCTTGATGATGGCCATGCTTACTGGGGTAAGATGATTTCGGTGTTGTTTTAAGTTGAATTTCCATTATGGTCAGAAACATTGAGCATTTCTTCATGTGCCATTTTTAATTCTCTTCTGAAAAGTGTCTAGTGGCTTTGCTCATTTACTACCTGAGTTAATGATTCTTTGGGGGTTTAATTTTTGAGCACCTTCTGTATTTTAACATATGGCCCTTGTCTGAGATATAATTAGCAAAAGTTTTCCCTCATTTTATAGGCTTTTTATCTTAATTACTATGTTCTTTACTGTGCAGGTACTTTTTAGCTTGGTACAATCTCATTTGTCAATTCACTCTTCAATTTGCTGAGCCCTTGGAATTCTACTCAAGAAGTTCCTGCCTATGCCAGTAAGTTCTAATGCTTTCCTTATGCCTTCCTGTCATAGTTTCAGGGTTTCAGGTCTTACATTGAAGTCCTCAATCCATTTTGAATTGATAATAGAACAGGAGTACAGATAAGAATCCATTTTCAATCTTCTACATGTGGATGTCTAGTGTTTCCAACACTTATTGAAGAGGCTGACTTTCTTTTCCCCCAACATATATTCTTGATTCCCTGGTGAAATGCAAGATAGCTTAAGTATATAAACCTATTTCTGGATCTTCTAATCTGTTCCATTGTTCACAAACTATTTTTGTGCCACTACAAAGCTGTTTTGGTTGCTATAGCTGTGTAGTAATGTTTGAAGTCTCCACTGTGATACCTCCATCAATGCTTTCATGCCCCACCCCGCAAGGATTGCTTAGGTGACTTAGGCATTTTTTAGCTCCATAAAAATGTTCTCTCTCTTTGTGAAGAATGACATTGGGAATTCATGGACATCGCATTGAGTTTGGCAGTATGGCAATTTTCATGATATTAATTTACCAATCCAGGAACATAGGAAGCCTACTTCTTGGGGTCTTTTTCAATTTCTTTCTTCAAAGTTTTATAGTTTTTATTATAGAGTTCCTTTACTTCCTTGGTTAGTTCACTGGTAGGTACTTCATTATTTTTTTTTAAAGGCTATTGAAATTGAAATTGTTTCCCTGATTTTCCTTTTTATCTGCTCATTGTTGTTATAATAATGATTATTATAATAATGATTTGTGTATTGCTTTAGAGTTTGGAGGTGGAGTCTCTAAGGTCTTTTATTATTTTTTTCTTAGGGTTCTTTAGATACAGGATCATATCATCAGCAAATAGGCATAGTTTGACATCCCTATTTGGATCCTTTTATTTCTTTCTTTTGACTTGTTGCTCTGGTTGAGAATTCTAGTAGTATAATTAAGAGGAGTGGGGTGGGAGAGTAGACATCCTTGTCCTATCCCTGATTTTAGAGAAAATAGTTTTAGATTTTTCACCATTTTTCAGTGTTTGGCTGTAAGCGTGTCATAGACTGCCTTTATTATGTTGAGGTATATTTCTTCTATCCCTAGTTTACCTAGAGTTTTCATCATAAAAATGTTTTATGCAACTATTGAAATAATCCTATGACTCCTATCTTTGGTTCTGTTAATGTGCTCGACTAAGCTTATTGATTTACATATACTGAATCAAGTTTTGCATCTTTGGGATGAAATCAACTTAATTGTAGGGTATGTCTCCTTTGATTAGTTGTTGAATTAGGTTACCAAGTATTGTATTAAGTAGTTTTTCATCTATGTTCATCAAATAGATTAGTTTGCAGTTCTCTTTTTGTTGTGTCTCTGTCTTGTTTTGGGATGAATGTAATAACACAGGCTTCATAGAATAAGTTTGGTAATGATCCCTCCTTTTCTAGTTTATGGAAAAGATTGAGTAGTATTGGTGTTCTTTGAAGGTCTTATCGTATTCAGCTGGGACTTGGATTTTTCTTTGTCAGGAGTTTTTTTTTTTTATTGCCATTTCAATTTCATTACTTGTTATAAATCTGTTTAAATGGTTTATATCTTCTTCTTGGCTCAATTTTGGTATATTAAGGTTATCTAGGGATGCATTCATTTCTACCAGATTTTCCATTTTGTTGGCATAGCGCTTGCTAAGTATTCGGTTACAATGCTCTGAATTTCACTCATTTTTGTTGTGATATTCCCTTTTCACCCTTAATTTTAATTTGCTACTTCTTTTAGTCATATTGGCTAAAGGTGTATGAATTTGATTTGTGTTTTCAAAGAACCATCTTTTTTGATTCTTTGTATATTCTTCTAAAGTTTTATTTGTAATCTAATCTTTATTTTATTTATTTCTATCCAGTTTTGCTTTGGTTTGTTCTTGTTTTTCTAAAAGCTTGAGGTACATAGTGAGAATATTAATCTGGGATCTCTCAATTTTGTCAATATAGGCATTCATAGCTACACACTTTCCTTAAAGAACCACCTTTACATTGTGACAAACTTCTGGCATGTTATCTTTCCATTACCAGGAATTTTCTTATCTCTTTGATGACCCACTAATTATAAAGCAATGTGTTGTTCAGTATCCATGCGTTTGAATATTTTCTGGGGTTTCTTTTGCCGATAAACTCTAACTTTTATTCCATTATGGTTGGACAGGATACAAGGAGTAATTTCAATTTTCTTAAAAGTTTTGAGACTTTTTTATGACTTAGAATTATTTAGGAGAATAATTCATGCTTTGTTTCTGTCAGTTAGATAGATCTCTTATAGACAATGGTTGGTTAGTTGTTGCCTTTTTGATCCATCTTGCCAATTTATGACTTTTGATTAGGGAATTGAGCCTATTAATATTGAGTGATAGAATTGAGAAATATACAATTGACCTATCATATTCCTCACAGTTTTTATTTTGTATCTATCCCTACTTTTCCTATGTTTATTTACTTAATCTAGCAGCATCTATTTTCTCCACTTTCTTCATGTTCATCTTGATCTTTTGAGTGTAAGATATTTTTGAGTATCTTCTGTAGTACTGATGTAGTGGTGATAAATGGTTTTAGTTTAGTATTTCCCTGTAATGTTGTTTGTATTTAGGTTATGTTTGCTTTAGCTAGCCACTCTGCTCTTTCTTCAATACTTTCCAGACATAAATTCAGTCTTTATATTGAATCCTGAAATTCTTGCAAACTCATTTCATAATTCTTGGACTTTTTGTATTTTTACTTCTTATCTCTGTACTGTATCTCCTTTGTTGTCAAACATAGAATCTAGTCTTTCATATAATCTATTCTGTTGGTGAAGATTACAAGTTTTTGATGTAGAAAAGTAAAAGTTCTGTATAAATGAGCTTATATTTGGAATTTGATGTGCCCAACTTAATCTTTAGGCTCTGTGCATGGTGTTCTTAGTTTTGCGTGTGTGGGTTGTGGGGTTTGAATTCTGGGCCTGGGAGCTGTCCCTCATCTCTTCAGCTCAAAGCTAGCACTCTACCACTTGAGCCACAGAGCCACTTTACCACTTGAGCCACAGAGCCACTTCTGGTTTTCTGGTGGTTAATTGGAGATGAGTCTCACGGGCTTTCTTGCTTGGGCTGGCTTTGAACCACAATCCTCAGATCTCAGTGTTCTGAGTAGATAGGATTACAGGTGTGAGCCACCAGTGCCCAGCTTGTGCATGGTGTTCTTTATGCTAGGAATTGCCCCTTCCTCAACCCTCTCCCTCTCTTATTCTGGTTCTTTCTGCCTTGCCTACCTTGCTTCTTTAAGATAATTTTTTATTGTAAAGATACTGTAGAGAGGGGTTACAGTTACATGAGTAAGGTAATGACTACATTTCCTATTAAGCATTATACCCACTCCTTTGTTTTCCCCCTACCATCCCTTCCCTTCTCACCTCCCCAACTCCTCCCTCTTGTCTCACTTCTTTTTTGGGGGGGGAGTCTGGTCATGGGGCCTGAACTCTGGGCCTGGGCACTGTCCCTCAGCTCTACAGCTCAAGGCTAGCATTCTACCACTTGAGCCACAGCACCACTTCCGGCTTTTTTCATTTTTGCTTATGTGGTGCTGAGGAATCAAACCCAGGGCCTCATGCATGCAAGGCAAGCGCTCTACCACTGAGCCACCTTCCCAGCCCCATGCCTCACTTCTTTTGAGTTCATTTCAATGTTCCTTTGGCAACCTTTACTTAACTACACAAATATGGAGAGGCCTAGATAGTTTTTCATCTGCTTGGAATGAGCAGCTGTTGAAGGAGTAGAAACTACATCTTTGGAGTGTGGGCCTGACACTCAGATTTAGTTGTACCATCATCTGTAGTGTGTGGTAACTGGGCACTATTACCATATTAAGTTGGAGGGGAAAACACAGACGTTAGTTCCCATACCTTCCAAGACACCAACAATTCCTTGAGTATCTGAGAGGACTGGAGCTTCAGCAGAGTAGATGGAGAATAATGCTAGCAAATACTGCTGCTGATATATGGTCATTTTATTTTTACCCTCTGGTTGGTGTGGCCTGAGAAACACGGACTGTATTCATATTTTCTCATGTCTCTTTTTAGAGCACTCATAAATACAGATAATGGCTCATTCTTCCTCCTGTACTCTACAGGGCACTTTATAGTTTTTCTATGAAATTAAATCACAGACTCTGAAGGAGTGGACAACTTTATGAGGCAGAGGAAAATCTGATAAACTATCCTTGTCCTCATTCAAGCAGGTTTATGAGAATGTGTCACAGAAGGGTGTTATTCACTAGTATTTTCAGAAGAAATGATTTTCTTCTCTATTTTAATAGAAAAAGACTTTTCAGATAATTATTTACACTTTCTTCTAATTCAAATAGATTGTGATTACCCAGAACAGGAAACGCAGAGCCTTCTTCCTGTTGGGAATTTAGGGAAAATGAAGCTCAGTGAGTTAATGATTTCCTGTAAGATGGAATACTTTTCTCTTTACCATCGACTACATTGCCAACATCTACTTTTTCCCACTGAGATAGTAAATTGAGGAGAAACAATTTTGTTTAGTAGAATTATTGTACATTTCAAGATAACTGGTAGCTTTGTACTGACACAAAAATAGGCTGGAGAACCTATGGAAGAGAATAAAAAACCCCAAAATGAGCCCATAGACCTATAGCCATCTAATATTTGGCGGAAGTGGCGCTGTAGCTCAAGTGGTAGAGCACTCGCCTTGACCTGAAGAGCTGAGGGACAGTGCCCAGGCCCAGAGTTCAAGCTCCATGGCCGACAAAAAAAAAATTGTGAGCGTTGGTGGTATAGTGGTGAGCATAGCTGCCTTCCATCTAATATTTGGAAAGGAAGCCAAAAATACAGTCTGGAAGAAAGACAGCTTCTTCAACAAATGGTGCTACTGGACATCCACATGCAGAAAACTCAAACTAGATTCCTGAATATCACCCTGCACCAGCATCAACTCAAAATGCATCAAAAACCTCAATGTAAGACCAGAAAGTATGAAAGGTTTGTGTGTGTGTGTGTGTGTGTGTGTGTGTATGTGTGTGTGTGTGTGTGTGTGATGTTTTGTTTTTGAGAATGAATTGAAAAGTAGAGATTAAGTCCATCAAAATGATGACAAGCAGAAGGGTCCATCAGCTGCACCAGACATTGATAAATGTGAACTAAGCCACTAAAGGATGGTGATAAGAGGGAAGGAATGAAAGAGAAGGCGGGAACAGCTGATACTAAGCAAAAAGAATGAAATGTACATGTCACTTGATATGTGTAAGGTTAACCTTGCTGTATATCACCTCTAAAACCACAATAAAAAAGGATTACAAATTAGTTTGTAGAGATCTGATTAGGCCTCAGTGCTACCAGTCATTTTTGTCATAGGAAAGATTGTTTTAATAGTCAGCATATTTTCATTTGATGCAGTCAGCTTTTTGCACTGTGTCTGCCACTCACATGTTGAGCCAGTGGTACTTGCTTAGATGTGTGAACCATGAAGAGAGCTTAGTATGGCCAGACTGATCCAGTGGTAGTATATGAATGTTGTTCTTCTTTTCTTTACTCTTATTTTTACTTTGTTTAAAAACAAAAAAAAGCATATGAATAGACTTCATAAAAGACACTAGTTCTAAAAGCAGTTGCCAACAAAAACCATCACAAAGGAAACGTTGATTTCAACTTGATAGCTCTGAGTTCCTTCATTTACTACTTCTTAGGTAGGTTGTATGAAGTCAAGGTGAGTAAATTTTGGATGCCAAAAGATTTCAAGACCCAAGGACCTCTCATAACCAATGTCAATGGAAAATTCTTTCTTTGAGATTGTCTTGTTGACGTATCCTGTTTAATCCACTTGGCCCCTCTGTGTCATACTTGTAAAATTCTTTTACTAAATCTGGGTAGACGTAAGTATAGTACTACTTCTCACAATATCTGTGTCCACAGGTGATTCTGGAGGAATTTCTACTTTTTAGCAGCTATTGAAGTATGTGTTAGCTCATGCTGTGATGAAAATATGCTTACTAGTTACAATTGCCTGCCCTTTAGCCATAGATGGGAAGAAGCGATACCATCTTTATTTTCTGTTGTTTTCTACTTGGTTTGATGCTCAGGATGTTGCTAAGAAAGAGCAGCCTGCAAGGCTATGTATACCACAATCTATTACTCAACCTGATAGCTGTCCTGCCATCTGTTTTTCTTACTCATACTTGCTGTCACCATCTGTTCTGGCCATTTTTGTTCCTTAGGATAATGGCAAGTCTAGCCTCTCATAGCTACAATATTGCTATGGTCTGCTACAACATATTTCTCTTACATTTGTTCCTCTTTGAAAGTTAAGATAGACCATCGGTGCTCATGACCATTAGTCCCATGGTAAGCTCACATTTGGAGTATTTCATATTGTTGATTTCCTTTCTATTTTTTATTAGCATATATTAGTTGTAGATAGGGGTTTCACTATGATGTTTCAATATATGTATACATTGCATTCTAATCACTGCCTTGTCATTCCCTTTGCTACCAATTCCCCTTCTTGTAACAATTTTAACAGGTTTTGTTGTTTTATTTTCATATGTGTGTGTATAATATGTTGAAGGATACTATTTTAAATATCTCCAACAAATGGAGAAGTGCATGCTTCCTTCTTGGTGAAAGTTATTTGTTCCTTTCATCCCTTTTAAATTTCTTTTTTTTTTCTCCTATGCACTGGTAGCTCATGTCCATGATCCTAACTACTCAGGAGGCTGAGATCTGAAGACTGACATCTGAGGTAAGCCTTGGAAGAAAAGTCTGAAAGACTCTATCTTCAATTAACCAGCAAAATACGAGACTGGAGGTTCTGTACTTCTGAGGACTATGTTGATATCCTTTCCCTTAGATCACGTCTAGGTGGTCTCTTTGTGTGATTCATAGGTGATTAATGGAGAAACTTATTGGACAGTTTGAAACCAAATTACATTGTTCAACTTAAACAGTTCAGGAACAATTATAACTTCCTGTCAAGTTTCTTTATAGGGACCTTTTCTGGCATTCTGTCCTAATCAGTTTGGCTCTCCACACAGATGAAGAAGGATTTGATATGTTACCCGAGCCATTGTTTTGTTGATTATTCTGTTCTCTTGGTGTGAGCTGCCTTACAGGCAGTTGAAAGGTATACTCATTATAAAAAATAACTTTCATTTGCAATGTGATTATTAATATTTGACTACAATATTCAACAATTATCACTGATGAATTTAAATTACCAATTACTTAAGTCATCACGTCTTAATCATGCACATGCTGAAGGTCTAGCTTGGTTATTTATTTACTCACTTTTATTGTACATGCTGAAGGTCTAGCTTGGTTATTTATTTACTCACTTTTATTGTTAGTTAAACTCACATTTGCTCACTTCTGCTTCTGTTTTACTGTCTGCTTCTGTTTATTACTGAAGAACAAACATTCAGACTACAATTGGCATTACAGAGATAAAAGGATAGTCTGGGGACTCTTCCCCCTTCAGGTTGTTGATAAAGTTTTCAGCCAGACTGTGGGGGTAGAATTTGGCAAGACTTGTGTTCAAAATTTCTTCTTCTGAGCCAATTGGCAAGTGATACCATCAAAGGATTCAAGAGTCTACTCTAACTCATTGCAATATAAACACATACATCCACACATGACATTTATTTTTTACTTTTCTATGAAATATTGTGGTTATAGAAATCTCTTGGTAATACTAATTAATAAAGCAGAGTACAATATATCCTTTGCTTGACATATTATTGTTATTTTTAAATAGAAGACTTGTTAAATGTGTTAATGTCTTTTTGGCACATTACCAAAGTGACCACGTGGGTAAAAATATATCTGATGGTATTGGAAAGAAAATTTTAGACCCTTGCATTGGTGATTGAAAAGACCCTACAGTAATTTGGGAACTACTAAAAGTTGTCAAAGACCTCAGACTGGCACATTGACATCCCCTCAAATTTGTTAGAAAGGAAGTCTCAGATAATTGATATGTGTCTGAGAAGATCAATCTGCATTTTAACAAACTTCCTGAGTGATTTGTAGGTGTGTTAAAATTTGAGATATGCTTGTCAAGGAGAGAGTTTCTTTAGAAGAATATTTCCTTTAAGTCGTCACAGACTTCATTTTTCTTTCTAAAAATGAATCTGTTTTATAAAGAGAGATTTATTTTAAGGAATTTGTCCACATAATTGTGGTGAGTTGGCAAGCCCCAAATCTGCAGGGCAGGCCAACAGGCTTGGAGATCCAGGAAAAACTTGCTGTTTGAGACCAAAGGTGACCCAGGCTATTTATTATTTAAAATGCATAGTACATCCCTGACCACCACTACCACCACCACCACCTCCTCCTCCTTCTCCTTCTCTTCCTCCTCCTTCTCCTCCTTCTCCTCCTCCTCCTCCTCCTTTGCTGTACAGTTTGAATTTGAAGCCTCTCATTTGTTTAGCTTGCTTGTGCTCTACAACTTGAGTCCTACTTTCAGTCCTGCCTTTTGCTGGTTATTTTTGGAGATGGAATCTCTCAGACTTCTCTGCCAGCTAGCCTCAAATAATTATCCTCTGAATCTCCTAGTTATTCCGGAGAACAACTAGGATTATAGGCATGAGACACCTGATTGGATCTAATCATCCAGTCAAGTGAAAGAATACCATAAAAATGAATTCTAAGACATTCCTTTCACCCACCAATCATCTATTAGTTAATTCTGGCTTCATCTTAATCGAAATAGCATTTTTGAGGTCTTAATTTTTTTCATTATTTATTCAGTTGTAACCTGAAACATAATGTTGAGTGGATGATCTGAGATGAGGCTGACAATCATTTTGGCCACGTGAAAATGGTAACCCCACAAGATTAAGACTTTTGGTTCTGCTCATGTGTGTGTGTATTCTAGAACCTGAGCTTGTGGACCAACAAGGACAAATGTGTTATTGCTGGTTTGTGGCACCACTTTTTCATTTCCTGCAATGTTGAGGGACGTGAAATAAAATAACAGTGACTAGTCTTAACTATTTTTTCTGACCAGCTACTTTGAGTCTATATTGATAATGTGAAATTAAGATGTAGGCTTGGGCATAGTTGTATATATCAATAATCTTAAACCTTAAGAAACTTAAATAGGAGGATTGTGAATTGAAGGTCTATGTGGACTAGAAAGAGCCTGTCTCAAAAACAAAACAAGGAAACAAGAAACATAACCATTGTGCTAAACTAATGCTCCATTATTAGAAGCAGGAATGCATTGTGAATTACTGTATTTTTCACTCAATTTTTTCTTTCTAAAGTCATGACAAATCAGTACTTCCCATTAATGAAATCTCTAGCAGTTCTAACAATTCTAGAAATTTCCTAGAATCATATATGCCTCTGTGGTCATTGATGTGGGGGAACGTTCTCAGATGCCGTGCTCTGGTTTTCTGGACTTGTTAACCTGATGCCTACCTCTGTACCTGTCTGTGCTTCCCTGATTGCAGCTCTGTGTCAGCTTCTGGAGGAGACTGAGGTAAGTTAGGAGACATATTAAGTTTTCATAAAGTTCTTGCTTTCTCAACTAGTAAAGCAAATATAAAAGTTCTATTTATTTTACTTTTAGGTTTATTATTTTTAATATATTTTTAGATTGTGTCCATTTACTTTTTCACAAAGTATTTATAAGTTGGACATTATTTTCCTGAAAGTTTTCTTTTTCTTCTAGAATATAGCACCTACTGTAGATTTAAAAAATTGAATACAAATGGTAAAATTTTTAAAAATTACAAATGAATTGAGGATGGAAAATTAATTTTTATTGAATTGATTACTACTCCATACTATGTTTAATAGTGGAACATTGCATGAAATTGTCATAAACTAAAACAAGGTAAGTTTTCTCTTTCTTTCTCTCTCTCTCTTTTTTCTCTCTCTCTTTTTTTCTTTCTTTCTTTCTCTCTCTCTTTCTCTCTCTTTCTTTCTCTCTCTTTCTTTCTTTCTCTCTTTCTTTCTCTCTCTCTCTCTTTCTTTCTTTCTTTCATTTTTTATGCCAGTTTTGGGGCTTGACGCAGGGACTGGATGCTGTCCCTGGCTATTTTTGCTCAAGGACATTATTTTACCAGTTGAGCCACAGCTCCACTTCTGGCTTTGTTTTTTTTGGGGGGGGGGAGGGTGGTTAATTGGAAATTGATCTCCAAGACTTTCCGGCTCAAGTTAGCTAAATCTCAGTTAGTTAAATCTCAGCCTCTTGAGTAGCTAGGATTATGGGAATGAAGCCACCAGCACCTGGCCCATAATTTTCAATATATATGCTTTAAATTTTTATATGGCAATTTTCAGTTCACAATATTTAGGAATTTTACCATCAGGTACATGTACATGATTAACTGCATACAGAGGATGGACTATGTTTCATTTTCATTCTACAGTTTCAATAAACAGCTCTAACATTAGAACAAATGCTGAAATCCATGTGTGATGTTTGGCAACAGCAGGATTTTTCCAGTTGTTTTTCCTACTAGGGGTGTCAAAGATGTTGAGTTACTGAAATATCTTTACTACTTCTTCTTGGAAAGTCTCATAGCATTTAGAGCAATTATTATACCTCAGGAGTTTATTACTTTATAAAGGAACATAAAGTTTTAATGCCATTTAATAAGACCAACAATGGTAAAACTGAATTCTATGTTCCCACCCTCATATTGTTTAGATCGTCATCACATTTTAGTACAAGTAAGAAACTTTGGACTCTTAAATGTGATTGAAATATTGTGTTGAGTCTCTGAACACATCCACACACATAGATCCTCTCTCAGAAGCAGAGGATGGGAGGTCATTTGTGAATATTCTGATCTCAGACTGTTTCAAAGTATTTGCTAACAAAGTTTATAACAACAAAATTATTTGGCCACCAAATTAGTTGATGTGAATTGCTTGTTTTAAAAAAATATTCAGAGATACTAAACTGGTACTAATTAAAGAAATTATTTTGTGTACAATGTAACAATTAGAACTCTCTGTGATATATTTTTATTTATAGAGGGTTTATAAACATTCTTAAGTAGAATATCATGCTTTTATTAGCTCTTACAATCTTTCCTAATATATTCCCCTGGAATAAATAAAAGTGTCCAGACAAACATAAATAAAGTGCTTAGTTACATATTGGTAGATATTAGAAGGTTAGAAAAAATTAATGAGCTTTCACTTCTCACTGTTTTTAATTACACAATGTTTACCAGACTCAAAAAGCCTCTTACATTTGGCTTTTTCTAAGACAGTGAGGCCTCTGTAGGGAGTAGGAGGCTGTGAGGCAAGTGGTGCCTATTGCTAATCACCAGAAGTCCAACACTGTGTTCTCTGCACTCAGATATTAGATACCATGAAAACAGTGATGCAGTCACGCACCGAATGAAACAATGCTTCACTTGTCTGCAGAAAGTCAGAGCATTATCAGTATGCTCTACCACAGACAGCAGCTTTCTCCAGGTAGCTTAGTAGGACTCATTCATCAACCTTCACACCCAACTTGTGCTACACAATAGGGACTCTTCTAGATTAGGGATGGATCTATCAGTGAGGTTGTGGGAAACACAATGAACATGAGAAGGTATGGAAAGGTATTCCCAGACAAGGCATGAGGCCCAGCATGAGCTACCTGAGGACTCTAGATTTTGGCTAACGTAAATATTCTTGGTAGCATGTTGGAACCAAAATACTACACACAAAAGAAGAGGCACGGAAAAATTCTGTGTCCTACTACAAACATTGGCATTTATATCATATTTGTAAGATGAAATATAATTAATGCTCACTTGAATAGTATAATTGAACGTAACTCCCTTGACTCATATTCCTGTGGATTTCTGGGGTAGAGCTTACAAAAGTCTAACAGTACATCAAAGACAGAGCTAACAGAATTAGAGGACTTTTTTCCATAATGTTTCTTCATCTCTAACCCTATCACATGCCTATTACCATGACCCCAAAGTACGGTATTGCTTTATTCTTCATTTCACTGCAGTGGCCATGTTATGATTCTGAAGCATCTAGATAATCAATAGGAATCTTCTTGACTGTGCCTCTTAAAAATACATTTTTTAAAAGAAGATACATTGCTGATATGAATTCCAGAATAGAAAAAAACGTAAGTCTATGAGCCAAACATGCAAAATTGTCATTAAAATATAGTAACATAACTTATTCCTTTAGGAACAATGCCTACTTCCCCTTCATTTTAAAGTTAACATACGAAAAAAATGTAATTTGAGGAAGAATGAGAGAGAGAGAGAGAAGAAGAAAGAAGAAGAAGAAGGAGGAAGAAGAGAAAGAGGAGGAGGAGGAGGGAGGGAGGGAGAAGAGAGGAAGAGAAATACATACCTATAGGTATATAAAATGAAGCAGGCAAAAAATCCCAAGAAAGACAATCACATTGCTCTATTTCATGGAGTAACAGCTGGGATGCTCATTTACTGTCCTTTTCAGGCTAATAAAATTTATTTTAAAACAATCTTTTCCAATACCACTATGAGAGCCAAGTTTTTTTTTTTTTTTGCTAGAAGTCAAATGACTTCTTGTAATACTATTTTGTGGACTCTGCTGATTATTTTACCATTTGGGCATAGAGCTGTAATTGCAAGAACTGTAACAATTCAACTATACCAAATTAAAGTAATCTCCTGTTATGCTGTGTTGCTGAAAACATTTAATTTCAAATGCATCTTCATTTTACTTTCCATGAAAATTAATGTCAAATTATTAAGAAAGAGAGAGTGGAGTGGCAGCTAATGTCCTGTTTTTCCCTGGTTTGGAGTATTTGTCTGTTGCCCAATTGACCACCAGTTCTGAGCCCCAATATCTCCTCTCAAACTTTCTCTTTTTCAGAAAAATCTGTTGGTGCTGGAGGAAAATGTGTCAGGCAAACAGCTGTTCTCATATTAACCCATTTAAAGTTTGATAGAGAAAAAGGAGAAAGTATCTGAATTGGTATTTTTAAAAGTCTTCCTTCTAGGTAAGATAAAAAGACGTTTACCCTCACAAATAAAGACATTTGCATTTTTTTTCAGGTAAATCAAGTACAGGTTCAGATTTTACTTCTTTTGAGTCTTCATGGTTATGTATACAGATGTTCCTAATAAGGAAATGAATCATATTGTCCCCTTTATATTTTTGGTTTTATATATATATATATATATATATATATATATATATATAAAACCAAAAATATAAAGGGGACAATATGATTCATTTCCTTATATATATATATATTTTTTTTTTTTTGGTCCAGTAGTGGGGCCTGAGCTCTGGGCCTGGGCGCTGTCCCTCAGCTCTTCAGCTCAAGGCTAGCACTCTACCACTTGAGCCACAGCGCCACTTCTGGCTTTTTTCTTTTTGCTTATGTGGTGCTGAGGAATCAAACCCAGGGTCTCATGCATGCAAGGCAAGCGCTCTACCACTGAGCCACCTTCCCAGCCCCGCTATATTTTTTTCGCTATACATTTTAATTTTTACTTGCAATTTTCTTTTTTTATTATCTTTACCTACCTGTACAAAGGAGCTGCCATTTAACAAAGTAGTTTATGAATAGAATGCATCTTGATTGATGTCACCCCTTTTAGCTATATTTTTATATTTCTCTAAAAATTGAAGTAATAAAGCTAGTCGCAAGTGTCTGCTTTGGCTGTTAATTATAATGTTTTGCGTATAAATAAATTAGATAATGTTTGCAAAATATAACAGTGAAGAAGGCCACAATAGATCTTTATTGTCTCTATTTAAGAGACGAAGAGGGACTGGGAAGGTGGCTCAGGGTAGAGTGCTTGCCTTGCATGCCTGAGGCACTCGGTTCGATTCTTCAGCACCACATAAGCAGAAAAAGCCAGAAGTGGTACTGTGGTTCGAGTGGTAGAGTGGGAGCCTTGAGCTGAAAAGCTGAGGGAGAGTGCTCAGGCCCAGAGTTCAGGCCCCACAAACTACAAAAAGAAAAAAAAAAAGAAAAAAAAAAGAGATGAGGAAACTGAAGCATAGAAAGGGTAATTTTACAGTAGAGGAGGCCCAAGTCTAGAAGTTGTTCTTTTTACTACTATTGATATACTCATTCACTCTGATAGAGCCCTTGTTGCATCTTATCTCTGGTTGGTGTGAGTGAGTAATGCCTCATTTATCCACCCTTTAAAAATGAATGACAAGGAAGGGTAACAAGTTTGACAAGAAATGCACTTATTACCTTACTTATGTAACTGTAACCCCTCTGTACATCACCTTGACAATAAAAAAAATTAATGACAGGAAACTGGATCCTGTGGAATATAATTGAATCATTGGGAAAATGGTGGGGAACGGAAAAGGAATAGGCCAGACTCCATCATCAACAGGCGAGGACTGTTTATGGAGGAACAGCTAGGGGCCCAGACCTTCCCTTGAGTTTGGAGGTTGTGCCCAAGAGTTGGGGCAGGAATTGGATTTTTATAGGAGGTCCGAGCAAGGAGGCAGAGGTTAATGAAAAAGCCACTAGGTCAAGGGAGGTGGGCGCCTTTCATCTGTGCCCACAATGGGATGTTTACAGCTGGGCTCAGTGGTTTGCCCTGCGGTACTTCAAACAAGTTCGCTCATCCCTGGGATTTTTGCCTGGTGTCAGTATGCACCTGGGAAAATAGGGTGGGGGTCAAGCCTTCCTAAACAATATAAAACATGATAGGAATGTAAAACAGGTCCTATCTTGAGGCTGGCAGGTGAATGGAAAAGGTGACTACAGTTAATGTATGTCACATTAATCCAATTGAAGTTATTTGAAGAATGTGAAGAGCAGGGATGAGAGAAATGCGGAGTGAGCCTAATGGTAAGCGTATATTCTTGGTGTGTGCAAGTAAGTATACTAAAGGATTATTGTCACCATTTTAGTCTGTTCAGGTTGTCAAAACAGAATACCTGGGTAATATGGAAATATTAGAAATGTATTTCTTATATTGCTGGAGACTGGGAAGTCTATGACCAAGGTCCTGGCAGATAGGGTACTGATAAGATATTACTCTCTGCCCTGTAGATCTATAACTGGATCTTTGTCACTGCAATCTCTTGTGGTAGACAAGGGAGCCCACTGGAGCTGCTTTTACAATTCCACTGACGAACACAGAATGCCTATGACTTTATCACTTATGTAAGGTTCTATCTCCTATCTTGTCACACGTGTCCATAGTGGTGTTGGGCATGGAGAAAGAGCAACATTCAGAGTAAAGCAGTAGCAGCTGACCCTTAGTTGCAAATTTCTCCCATGTCTATTTTGCCTTACTAAAGGTTTTGTTAAAAAAAAATTTGTTTTGTTAAAAAAATTGTTAAAAAAATTGTACTATCAACAATTATTTACGTTTCCCCACTGGCTTCATTTTCCCCTATGATTTCTTCCTTTCTTTTATTTTTTGTGCCGGTCCTAGGCTTGAACTTTGGGCCTAGCTACTGTCCCTAAGTGTTTATGCTTAGAGCTAGTGCTCTACTAGTTGAGCTGCAACTCTGCTTCTGGCTTTTTGGTGGTTAATTGGAGATAAGAGTCTCATGGAATTTTTCTGCCTGAGCTGGCTTTGAACCATGATCCTCAAATCTTAGCTTCCTGAGTAGCTAGGATTATAGGCATGAACCACTGGCTCTGGCTAATTTTTTTTTAATAAACCATTTGCCTTCAACTTTTTGGCATGATAATTAAATCACTTTGCTGATAGTCTTAAATAATAGTTTTGAATGTACTCTCAAGCATTTTGTAATTTTATAGCTACTATGAGATTTTCTCCCTCATTTCTGTGTAGATGCTGGAAAGAAAACAGTTGCTACATATTATACATTAATCTGCATGGAGCCACTGGTGTTTAGAAATATGAAAATGAGTAACTAGGTTTCCTGCATGAAAATGTGAATTTCCTACAGTAGAAATGTGAACCATCTGGTGTTCCATTGCTTTTATATACTACAGTGATAGAGTAAATGATAGTAATGATAGAACAAACTGGCAAAGGCTTCCATTCACTTACAAATTTATTCAGTCAGTTGACTTATTGAGTACCTATTAAATTCAAAACAGTAGCCAGGCGCTGGTGGCTCAAGTCTGCAATCCTAGCTATGCAGGAGGCTCACATCTGAGGATCACGGGTCAAGCCAGCCCAGGCAGGAAAGGCTGTGAGACTCCAATTAAACACCAGAAAACCGGAGGTGGCGCTGTGGCTCAAGTGATAGAGTACTCACCTTGAGCTGAAGAGTTTCAGGGACAGTGCCCAAGCCCAGCCCCATGACCGATTAAAAAAAAAAAAAGAAAAAGAGAATTCAAAACACTATTTGTAGGTCAATGGTAGTTGACGAAGTGAATGAGGTGTGCTTTCTATCATCAAGAAGCTTGTTAGCTGGATGCACTGACACACAGCTGTAATCACAGATACTTGGGCAGCAGAGCTGGGAGGAGCATGATTTGAGGCCAGCTTGTATACAAAAGGCAAGACTATCTCAAAAACAATTGGAGTGTTGTGGTACATACTTGTTATCCCAGTTACTCAGGAGGTAGAGGTAGAAGGATTACCATCTAAGGCTATCTTGGGCAAAAGAAGTATGAGACTCTGTTAAAAAAAATCTAAACAAAAAAGCAAAATGACTGGGGATGTGGATGCTTGCCTAAGTTCAGGATTCTGAGTCCAAACCTCAGTACTGCCCCGCCCAAGAAACTTACATTGCTGGGGCATAAAAATATAAACAGTAAATATAGGAAAGAGTATAAGAAAGACACAGTATAGTTTCATTATAGATCACTGTTATCTTCCTGAAAACAAGGCCAAAAGTTTGATATTGCATACTTAATATATGGTATTTAATAGAGGTTGAGTGAACAATTCATTCCAATGAGAAGACTTGTGGGGAGAGACCGTATTTGGGATGAACTATGAAGTAAGTGGAAAGACAGGGGAGATAAGAGCAACGGGGCAGAGGGAGCTGCCTGAAGAAAGCACAGGTGTGGAGAGTATTTGGATATAGTAAAACGTAGGTACCTAAAGCAAGACTGCAGTGAGCAAAGAGAAGGCTTGGAGAGACTATGTGGGAACATCAAATAGAGACTCAGAGGTCAGGACATGGGTGGAGGTCAGGATCCACTGAAAACAGGGAAGTAGATATTATAAGCCTGTAACACAGGTGGCTACTTAAAATTTGAAGAGAGTGGTATCTGTGACCACCTGGTAAGCTCCTGTGAAAGATGAATGTTAAGTTAAAGATTGACTTTAAGAGCCACATTTAAACAGTGGCAGGTGCAGCAGAAAGGAGATGGATATGGCAAGTATCTTTCAAGTAAAAGGGCTTTAGCATCCAAGGTGGTGTGGGATGAGTTCAAATTCAACTTCTATTAAATACCCAATACTAAATGTTGAGTACCAAACGTTAGGTCTTGTTTTCCAAATGCTGTAAGACCGAGCTTCTCTCCCTCTCTAGTAGGCCATGCGTGGTGGTGGGAAGGATGCTGGTACTATTGCAGAGAGCGGAGCAAGAGCAAGGTAAGAGCAAGCACTCTGGAGGAAAGCATGTTACTCTGTCTTCCATTCAGCTAATGTTGAGCTTGATGTCCAGGGCACACATTTTTGGCATTTTGAAGGAAGGGGTTGGGGAAGGATAATGGGTTACAGACTGGAAGTCTTTATTGATCTAAATTTGGCATGATCGGAGTATTTTTCAAGTGACAAAATTGTGAACATTACAAAGAGTTTCTAAACAAGCAGTAAAATTTTTATGGTACAATGTAGTACTCAATATTTTCTCTTTGAGTCATTTTTTTTGCCATGTCATTTAAATCCTTCCCTTCTCTTCTTTCTGCATCCTGAAGGCCATTAACCAAGGAAGGAATGCTGTGTGTTCTGAGGTTTCTAATTCAGTTTTGCTTTGTTTTTTAAATTGGACTCCGAGGTTCAAACCATGTATCACTATGGTATATGCCATTTTTTTCCTCTAGTGAAGACTGGTGGCAAGTCACTAACTTAGGGTGACCAGATGGTATTTCATAATGAACTCTCATTAAAAGCAGGTTTTGAGTAGAAAACCCTAATATTGAAAACAGTCCTGGGCACTGGCCCTTCGGACTAGCATCTGCTGTAATCCCAGGTTCCCAGCTGCTTTGAGGCTTTGCTTTGCATTTTTGTGCTCCCTAAAGCGTTTTCATCTACCAGCATGCCTTTGGCTTTCTTGTCTTTTTGGCTTTGTTTTTAATTAGTAAGATAACATAATGACAAAATTCACCCTCATAACTGGTTTTAAGTGTCTAGCTCAATAGTATCATGTTCACACACTTGAATAACTGTTTGAGTTGATATCCCAAGATGGAGTCCTCAGAAACAAAGTTTCCCCCTCCCTTTCTCCTATTCTCATCTCTCTTACAGAAACTAGAATTTCCCTTTCTAGGACAAGGTCATAGAAATTAGAACTGCTTTTCCTCAAAGCCAGCCAAAACACATAACAGTAGCATTCTAACTTTGTCTTCACCTTTCTAGTTGAGAATTGATCAGAAAGAAATTCTCTGATCTACCTTTTTTTGATTATAGGACACAAGAACCTCCCCCCAGAAATAGTCCTGCACCAGAGGTAGGAGAACAGGGTGCTACACAGAGAGGACAGGAAAGAGTCTGGACAGGAAGAATCTGAATAGGACTGGCTGGATCACCAGTAGCTCATACCCACTTTGTCCAATCTTTCTTGTGGCTGACCCTGCTTTATTGGGAGGCAGGAGAATGACTGGTTCCAAGGTTTTCAAAAAACGAATCAAACAAACAAAAAAACCCTACAGTTCGTTCTTGTGTTGTTGGGCCTTCAACCTTCAACCTGAGGGCTTCCCTGTCACACAAAATTATGAGCTAGTACATTTGCTCTAACTTTTCCTTTGCTTAGCGCCAGTTTGTTCTAGTAGAGTAAAACATTGAACCACCAGAGGGGGAAATTTGAACTTCTTGATACAGCCAAACTCTAGAACTCTTCATCTTGCAAAACAAAAAACTTGTAATCATTGAACAACTTCCTATTTCTCCTGTGTGAGGATTTTGGAATCACAATTGATAACAGAATGTACTAAGGCGAATAGGAGGAAATTAAGATTTGTTATGTGCTCCTTAAAGGGAGTGGTAGGCAATTCGGGCTGGAGAGGAATACTGCTGCAGCTTTGGTTTGGAATGAAGCAGACTTTTGTGTGATAACTTTGGATTTTTCTGATTGGCTATCTCCTTCTCTCTCGGACTTGTTGGTTGGTTATTCTTTCCCCTCAGATTATGGGTTGTATTTCCTGCTCCTGGAAACATGTTGCATGCTCAGTATCTAGACTCTCATCATTTCATATGCTAGACACTTGGCTTCTTCAGACTGCTATGCTTCCTTAAGGGAAGGCTTCTTCACCTTCTTCCCACGGGCCCTGACAAGCATCATTCTACTTTCCGACTCCTTGATTGACCACTCCAACTACCTCAAGTAAGTGGAAACATACAGTAGATGGCTTATTGTGATGCTTTCCGGGTTTTGGTTCATCTCCTGGAGTGGTGTTTGAACTCACCTTAGGCTTCGTCCCTTCCTGTATTCACTGATGAGGATAAAGATCCAGACTTCAGACCCTGACTGGTATCATGCTGAGCCTATGCCAGCTCTAACCCTTGGGAAACTTAGATGTCAGGAAAGAATACTTTAACCACCTGTAACCCCCCAAATTCAGTCTGCTCTAATTCAAATAATGGAACTGGAAGGAATCCCGAGGTTCAGAGAATTCGGGCTCCAGTCTCACAACAAAATGGCCTGCCATTTCTAGGACTTTGTATTCTTTTTCTCCTCTTCACACAGATCTGCAGACAGATTAAATACTAATGGCAAGAATGCAAATCAAAAGACCTTAAACAAGACTATTCAAGAAATTGAGTTAAACACACTGGAAAAACAATCTCACCCTAACTTTGGCATTTACATTACACTTTACACTGAAGGCCATAACATGTTTTTTAGCTACTGTCTGAACAATGAAGCAAGTCTTGTGAAAATTACAGCCTGACAATTTAATCTCCCACAAGAAATGTCCCATTGGATGGCCTTGTTTGATTTGAAACCAAAGATGTTACCCTTGAGAACTTAGGTCTTAGGAAGATTGTTTCATAGTCTCAGAGGAGTCTTTTTGATAAAAATGCAGGGGGTAGATCTATGAAGGGTGAGCTTACCCAGCTCAAGTGCACAGGGGAGTGGGAGAGTAGAATCTGTTTTTAGGGCATGCTGAGTAAAATCTTTGCCACACAGGCAATGCTTCACATATCCGGCTAGCTCTGTTACCCATCAGAACTTAACACAATGCTTAGTATTCATCTGGAATTCAATAAATATTTGCTGAGTGCTTTTTAAAAAAGGAATACATATGAGATCATTCTTTTTAGTTTAAAACTTCCAAATGCCTTATTTGTCAGCCTACGCTTTGAGTCCATATCTGTCATCTGTCATTGTTAACGCTTAAAAAAGCAGCTTAGTACATTTAAGTAGCACTTTCAGGGTTCCAAAGAGTTTATCCCTAGTACTATACAAGAGAAGAAATGTGCTCATTACCTTTCTCATGTAACTGTAACCGCTCTGTACTGCATCTTTACAATAAAATAAAATTCAAACAAAACAAAAAGAAAAGAAAACAAGATTCCAAGGATATTAAAGAAGTACCAAAGGAGCTGGGACCTGCGTCCCCCACCCAAGTCACTGAAGCAATTGGCATCATTCATGATCTACCAATTTAACAGTTTGTTCCTGTCACTTCATAAAATGTACGATTGGAAAAGCTAGCATACAGCATTTTAAATGTGGAAGGGGGGAAAAAACCACCCCGAAATACCTAGCCATAATAGTCTTTTTTTCCTACTTCATAGAAACACCAGGAACTGGAAATATGCTGGGGCTGAAATCACCCTGAATTCAAGCAACTGGAACTGGATAGCAATCATTCATCTCCAAGGAGCTAGGGCCCACTGTCATTTTCAAATGAAGGTGCTCTCCATAAGGTCTGGTCCCTACATACGAAGCACAGTGGTTCTCAGTGGGGACTGGGAATAAGGATGAAAATCGAGGTAACACTTTGAATGTTAACCTGGCCCTGAGCCACTCCTGTAGAAAATCATCTATATTTTGTTTTTGTTTTTGAAGCTGAAAGTAGAGCACATTGGAGTGTACAAAGAGAAAAACAAACATGTCTGGGTTTTTTGTGTTGTTATGGTGTGTTGATGACTTGGCAGGGAGAAGCGCTATTAAATAGTAAAGCAGACTGAATAAGGTAACTCCGATACTCAGAGTTTGCAGCAGGTTTTAATTTTCATAGGCAAATTTCTTTTTCCTGCCAATAGCTTAGGTCTACTTTCAACATCTGTCTCATCAGCCTTCACCTTGCTAGTTTCATAGTATGTCATTTCAAGATATTTGAGAGGAAGATCTTAAGGAAGTAGGTGTAAGGCACTACCTATGTCGTCTTGTTTCATGTCAAAGTTACATCATTTTACTTATCTACTGTGACTGGTGAATTGTGGGATTTAAACAAGTTGAAATCACCCTTGTGAAATCCTCAAGATAAAGTGCTTGATACAAAGTTAATTACTTACTTTCCAAGTACCATTGAAGGTAAAAATGCAGGAGGAGAAATACCAGGGGTTTTGCCACCAAGAGTTTTCAGTTTAGTCACAGAGTAAAATTTCTGTGATGTGAGTTAACTGTTTGGTTAATAATTAGTACAAGAAAAAACATTTTTTGAATTCAAATACATCTGGGAAGGAAAACACAGCTAAATGATTTATGGAGAGGATTTTTATTAGTCTGACTCCACATTTACTCTCTCATCTTATTTTTATTTATTTATTTATTTTTTGGGTCTGGTCGTAGTGCCTGAACTCTGGGCCTGGGTGTGCTGCCCCTCAGCTCTTTAGCTCAAGGCTAGCACTCTACCACTTGAGCTACAGTGCCACTTCTGGCTTGTTTCTTTTTGCTTATGTGGTGCTGAGGAATTGAACCCAGGGCCTCATGCATGCAAGGCAAGCACTCTACCACTGAGCCACCTTCCCAGCCCCTCTCTCATTTTATTATAGCAACATTTTGACTATACTATGGGCAAGTGCCTGTTTAAGTTTTAAGTGAATTTGATTCCAGATTTTGTTCCGAAGAGTCATAAGACCAAATGTTATGCCATCAGTAGATGTTTTCCTGATCATAGTTGGTTAACAGTGAATGCATGGAAAAATTTATGTCAGTTATTATTTTTACAAATTAATTAGGTTTACTAACTTTTTGAGTGACTCTTATCCTGGAGGAGGTTGGCCTTTTTAACTGCCATTTGCCTTTATGAAAGACAGTATCACATAGAGTCAAATTAGTACAGAGAAAAATGAAGTAGAAATTGGACCTGGCATTTGAGTTGCAGTTTCTAGATGTGCCTCAAACCAGTTTTACTCTGTCCTTTTTAGTTACAAAGCCAACATGTTCTCCTTTTTTATGAAGCACATTTGACATTTGGGTGAACATAAACACCCAATTTCAGAATACAGCATTTTTCTAAACTGAACACTGTAAAACAAAACATGAATACATTTCAACATACTAACAGTGAATAACTTCAATATCCTACTCTCTTCAAAAAACATTCATCCAGATAAAAAAGATCAACCAGAAAACTTCAGAAATAAATGAGAATGTAGACCAAATGGATTTACAGATGACTATAAATCACCTATAAGATGTCTATTGGCAGAATACACATTCTACACAGCAGCCCGTGGCAATTTCTTCAGAAAAGATCACACCAAACGGCAAGAAGCAAGTCTTAATTACTACAAGCAAACAAATAATTTTCTGTATGTCATCAAGTCACAGTGGAATAAAACTAGAAATCTATAACAAAAACTACAGAGAACAAACATGTAGAGATTTAGCTTGCAGTTTTTCCTTTTTGTGTCCATGATGTCTTAGAAGTTTCCTAGGTTCCGTTCACACTTTTTGAGTTTTTTCCTCTCTCTTAATTTGAATGTTTTAATACACTTGTTTTCTCATCAAGTCCTGATATTATGTCTTCACTTTGATCCCCTCCCCTGGAATGCCTTTCAAATAACTGGGCTTTCTATTTGACTGATTGAGCTTTTGTTTGAAGAATTTAATTTTTTCCCAGAATTCTGTGTCTATTGAATTTATCTTTCATATCCTACATTACTTTACTTGGAATCAATTTAGGTGTTTATTTAGGTGTTTAATTTTATTGATCATTTTTATAGTTGTTTAAATATGTCTTTGAGATTTCATCCACTTCAGTTTCATTAGTCTTTATAACTTGCAATTGTTGAATTTTGGTGGAGTCATGTTACCTTTTTTGGGAGGGGAGGGTCATGGGTCTTGAACTCTGAGCCTGGGTGCTGTCCCTGAGCTCTTCTGCTCAAGGCTAGTGCTTTACCACTTGAGGCACAGCACCACTTCTGGTTTTCTGATGGTTAATTGGAGGTAAGTGTCGCATGGACTTTGCTTGCCTTGGGCTGCCTTTGAACAGGATCCTCAGATCTTAGTTTCCTGAGAAGTTAGGATTGCAGGTGTGAGCCACTGGTGCCCAGCATACCTTGTGTTTTTCATATTGTGTTTCTGTGTTGGGATTTATACATCTGAAGATAAGTCATTGGCTGGAAATTTTAATCAACGATAGTCTTTTCGTTGAAATAGTCTACATTCAAGCAGGATGGTGTAGTAGGCTGGATTGAGATGATATTGTTGTACTGGGGTATTGCCCCATAGCCAAGCATTCACCAACATGCTCATAGTACCAGGTCTAATTCCCAACACTGTTCAGATTGAGGAAATTAAGCTAGACTCTTGTAGAAGGATTGGTTTTCTGCCTTAGACATGTTTCCTTCTTTGTGTACTAGGAGCCACTGCAGTGGTCACAGGCCATATACTATATAATAAGATGAGGAAAAGTGACAGACAGAATGTCATTCAGACAGCCTAGCCTTCCACACCAAAACACTACCATCTCATCTCTGTTTTTCTATGCTTGTCTGCTATTCTGCTTCTTTATTCATAATTCCCAATGTTCTTCTTCTCCTCTCTCTTTAGAATATAGTTACTACTATGTTACCAAGTCTTTCATTCACATAATCAAAATGATGGATGCTTCTAATTTCCCACTTTGCCCTGCCTCTTCTATAGTCAATATTTTTGATCTTGTAATCTTGTGCCATCTTTCTAGATCTTAAAGACTCATATTTATTTTATAATAACAACACAAGCTTGGTCCAAGACTTAGTAAGAAATCATGTCATCTCTGTCACTGTATGGGGTGAGGGGAAATAAGAACTTTCAATATTGATATATCTCTAAAGTAGTTCCTCGACAAACCACTGGAAAGTGTTTGTATATTGGTCTTATCTTCTTTTCTTTCTTTTTCTTTTTTTTTGTTGGCCATGGGGCTTGAACTCAGAGCCTGGGCACCGTCCCTGAGCAATTTTGCTCAAGGCTTGTACCCTATCACTTTGAGCCACAACACCACTTCCAGTTTTGGGGTAGTTAATTGGAGATAAAGAGTCTCACAGACTTTCCTACCCGGCCTGGCTTGAACTGCAATTCTCAGAGCTCAGCCTGATTAGTTAGGATTACAGGTGTGAGCCACCTGGCTTATCTTCTTTTCTAAGATGATTTTCAGAAGGCCAATCTGAGTTCAGATTAAATTTTTATCAGGGTACACTAGAGAAACAAGTTATAGTGTAGTGTTGTGTGTGTTTTTAATTATTATATTATTATAATGAATTAGTTCGCATAATGATGTATGGTTAGAAAGTACAGAATCTGCTGTTTACAAGTTAGAGTCTCAGGAAAGCCAATGGTATAGTCCTGGAAGCAGAGGATAGATATAGTATTTAACATAGTGTAAGTTCAAGGCTAGAGCAGAAGAAGACTGACATTCTAGTTCACATTTCTAGTTCATTTGTCTATTTAGAACAATGTCTTGAGAGATTTTAAGTCTTGACTTTATGTCTTGAAAGATGAAATAATTCCCAC